AAACCTATTCTAAATGTTTACTGGAATAGAAGAAAAATATTTATCATTTTCCAGATGTTAATGACACAGATTTGAGGTAGATTTATTGTAATAATGAAGTGTGGTTCATATCCTACCTACTTAAATAATCAAAATATATGGTCTTTTAAAACAGATCACTTTCAGTGGGTGTTTATGGAAACAATAAAGTTAAAAATTGAAAATTTAGTTCTCAAAACAATTCAAATAAGAGCTAGAAAATTTTATTTTTGAAAAAATTCAGTCAATAAATTCTAGTGCCGAAAAGTCAGAGATTAGAATTTTCGTAAACACCATTTTGTAGGAAAAATCTTTGGAAAATATGTTGGCCGCGATTTAAAGTAAATAGAGCTTCCTGTTTCGTAACATCAGCCCTAACGACCATACGTAAAAACCTATGAGGGTGAATTTGATACCTTCAAAAATTAATCAGTCTAATGGCCTTGCTACATACACCTAAACATATTTACTTAGCCTTATTAAACATTGTGCTAAAGTGACAAAAACCGCTACTCTTTTCTTTCTTTTGTAGAACATATTCCTTTTAATTTCTCATCAACTCAGACTATACGAAGGCCGGAAATTTCTCAAAAGGTATTAATTAAATTATTATTTATTTATTATTTCATATCTTCATTTTTTCTTATTTGTGGATAGAAAAAGAACAATGATGCTTCAAATTCGTGTATTCTTATAGATGTCTTACTATATATTTATATTTTGAAAAATCTTCACGTGACTGTATAGAAGCGGGTATTGCATTTTTGGAATATTTAATAATGATAAGTCCCCCCCCCCCTATTGGTTCATCAATGTAATACTATATTAATATGATTATAATTATTTAATATATTAAATATAATTAATAATTATTATGTCCTCTCCATAGACTTAAAATAAAATATAGACTACACTATTTACATCACAACGCGGTCAAACAATCTTTTTTGTACACATGTTTACTTCTGGGTACAGTCGACCGAGCCTTCCTCATCCAGCCTATGTTGTCCCGTCTTTAATATTATCAATATTTTTTTTCTTGTTATACACATATATTGAGATATTAATACTACAGTTTAATAAAGTAGGTTTTAATATTCCATAGATGTATTAAATAGTCCTTATACTACTAAATTATAAGTCGGATACTGTTTAAAAAGGATAAGTTCTTTACAATATGACAACACCGATAGAAGCGAGGGAGCCTATTCATTCATTTATTACCTTGTAGTACGCGTCGCACGTGTGCGGTAAAGCTTTGTTGCCGCTATATCCCCGGCTGTATTAACGCATTTTCTTAGCTTGTAGTCTTTAATTGTTTATTTTATTGACTTTTTCTGTTCAAGAACTATAAAATATGGTTCGTCAGTGCCAAATTTGCAAGAAATTTGACTTAAATAATCCATTTAAGTCTTGAAACAACTTTCGACCGTAGGCAACTCTCAATTTACCCATTGGGAGTCAGTGGCGTTGTTGTAGAAAGGCGCTTATTTAGATAATATTTTAGTAAAATGTAAAATCTGAATTTTTTCTCTTATATTACATTATTTACTTACTTACATTGTAACAAAATCATAATTATAACCCTGTTAATAATTAATAATGTTTTTATTAAAAATATATTCCGGTTTATTCTAAAATTATCTTCAGAATCTAAAATAACATACAAGAATTTTAATATGATATTACATTATGAGACAATATTTTTTAATATACCGGGTCGTCTCAAAAGTGGTTCACCGCTATAACTTTTTTATTTTTTCAGATAAAAAAACAGATTTGTATGTTAGTAGGTATATGACATAAATTAGGATTTATTGACGTATTCAATTGTTTTTGGTCTCTTTCTGTTTCACCGAAATGATTACATCTTTTGATTTTTAAAGGCACCCTCGGTATATTTCTACTTTATTCGATAGAAAATGATAATAGAATTCTGAATAGAATGACATATCATATGTCAACTTTTGACATTGTCGCTTAAAAACAAATCGTATTATAAATTTCAATCCAGGGTGCCATGGTGTTGTTAAAAACACTAAGTTTTAATCAAGGAGCCTTGGAAAAATAGTTTTGATCGTCTAATGGGTTTCGTGTCTTGTCTAGGCCGATTAAAAGATGTACAAATCATATTTTTAATCATACATATGTCAATTTTTTCAAATGGAACAAGGGTGACTCGTTAGCATATTTGGAAAAAGCATTTTTTTATGAATATATTGATACCACACACTTGGTATTTCGAGTCAAATTGTCGTTATGAACCACGTGTTACAATTACAATTAAACCATATGCGAAAGTGTCAAAAGTTGACATATGATATGTCATTCTATTCAGAGTGTCATTTTCTATCAAATAAAGTAGAAATATACCGAGGGTGCCGTTTAAAAATTAAAAGTTATAGTCATTTCCGGTGAAACAGAAAGTGACCAAAAACAATTGAATGCGTCAATCAATCCTAATTTATGTCATATACTAACATACTAAATCTTGTTTTTTTATTTGAAAATATAAAAAAATTATGGGGTTGAGCCACTTTTGGGACGCACCCGGTATAATAAAGACAGTACCGAGTTAAATAAATGTAGTTTTCATTTTATCCCCTTCCTATCACCTTCCTTGCTTTAATGGAACAGATTTATGTTTTCTCTATTTTACATAATAAGACATCACTTAACCAGAAAAAAAATTACAACAATCATATTTTTTTTTCTCTCTCTGTCGCCGATTCTATTATATCTGTGGAATAGATCCTGTTTTGATTAATATTAGGGGACTAAAATTAATAATTTATTATATTAATTTCAAAAATTACGTAATTTCGATTATAAAATTTCTTCTATAACGTGTATTTTATTATTTTTATCCTTTTTGGAGTCTAAGACGTGTTTTCTAAACTTTTTTTAAAAAAACTGTCCTAAATCTTAATAAAATATAAAAAAGTTTAAAGACGATATATTTTTAATTTAATTATAGCTTCATTAAAATAAAAAAATTACCCGGCTATGATACGGAGAGTTCGGGTGTACTTGAGAAACGAAAGACAGTGTTGTGTTTCTCGGCAGAGTCGTCAGGGAACGACCGTTACCACAGAGACAACCTATCTATCGCTCGTGTCGCACTCGTTATAACCTAAAACAATAACAAGACATTGTCTGACCGCATGTTCCAGCTATTTATGATTGAGATGCTCAGTCTATATTTTATTTTAAGTCTATGGTTCTCTCTAATATTAATAATTATTTTAGCCCTCCTCTTTCCCGAATCCTGGATACGCCCCTGACTGTAGGTACTATAACGTAGTAGCGTAAACAGCACAACAAATTGACAAGATCATAGGTTGAGGACTTAAGGTATGTTGACATTTATCTGGTTACACATTGTTACCTGTTCAGTTTTTATTTAAAAATAGACGCAGTTTTTAACCTATTAACGACTTTACTGTAAAATCAACAGGGGAACCAATATTTGGACAGTTCAAAATTTGCAAGGGATTTCTTTGGTTTCCAACGCCCATACACCACCCGGTATATCAATTTAAAACTTATAAATTATTTGGCCCTCTTGTAAACAGAGTGGCCCACTCGCAACCACAATAAAACTCGAATCAGATTTCCTGTATAATATGTAATTTCGTTTTTCCCTCGATGAGTGCGTTATGCACACATTGTAAAAATAGTTCTTTCGAATTATACAGGGTGGTTTAAAAGTGTTTTACATAAAGAGTTGTAGATATTTCAATGAAACTCTGTATATCTTTTAAGAAGAGGATTTTCTATAAAATACTTTTTCTAAGAATATTGAAATATCTTAATCTATACTGAATAATTTTTGATATATGACCATTTTGAAGTATTATAATAAAAATATAAAATAATATAAATTTTAGAATAATAATAAAGGTAATTTTAAATATGTAGACAATTTAGTTTAAAAATTGTCAAAGTTTAAAACAAGAGGGACTGGTATTTATAGCAAATCCGTTGACCTAAAAAATATTATAACCTCCCATTTAAAAAAATATTACTTTAATGGAAATATAAATTTGATAAAAAATATTTTAAAAATACAGGGTGTCCCAGAAATAAGTGCGAGAATTTTAACTTGTAGTATAGTTCAACCCTAGAAACAGGCCTGTGAGGATTTTTTTACGAAAAAAAATGTTGGAAATTTTTTGGAAATGTTTTTAGTTTTTAATTAAAAAACATAATTTCTTGATAATATGGCAACAAAAGATCCAGTGGTTCTCCAATTTTTGCAAAACATCTTTTTTTTGGAAATTTTCAAAGTAAAATAACTCCGTTATTTTGGACTTATTTGAAAATGATAAAGAGAAAATATGTTTCTTTTACCGAGATCTACCACCCCTTGAAATACTTGCACTTATTTCTGGGACACCCTGTATACTATGATTTTGCAAGAAAATTAAATTCAAATCTCAAATATATACTGAGAAAGGGGGAGAGAGCATTTGTAGCAGAATTTTTTTGCCTTAAATTTTGAACACCACTGGATTTTTTCTGGGTGTTCTTTCTTGTATCTGTTATCAAGATATTGTGTTTTTTAACCAAAAATTAAAAATATTTTCGAAAAATACAAATTTCTCCAATTTTTTTTTTTGCCAAAAATACTTAATAGACTTATTTCTGGGGTCGAAATATACCACCCCTTAAAATATTTGCAGTTATTTAAGACGCACCCTGTATATACACAACTTTTTCATCAGTGGATGAACCACCCTATATACGTATATGTATATATAGAAATGTAAAATATGTATGTAAAATAATTTATTTTGGAATCAAAAGACATGTTTCGCATTTCAAGTTTACGTGACTTTAATATTAAGTCCATGGAGCTTTCAGAAACAGTTCTTTCAAGATTGTTAGGTAATTTTTCTTTGGTCATCTACGCCAAGGTGACAGTTTTTGTAGTAAGACCGGCACATTGAAAAATCAAAAAAAAAATTGAAATGACATACCGTTAGCAGTATTGCCTGTCAAAGTTGCAGTTTTGGCGATGCATAGGTAGGACAAAAGGAAGAATCCTGCCAACACTTTCGAACTCATACCGGAGCCGTTCAGTCCGACTGAACCATGAAAACAAGAACCGCGTGTTTCACGGTTCGGAAGCAAATCGGACACTAGTGGACCTGGCGGGATCGCGGAAAGCACTAGGCTCTGGAGCGCTTTTAACATTTTGCCAGTGCGGTTGCTATCCATGCGCCTTCTTCTGGCTCGGGCCAATGAGACGTCGAGCGCGTTGCCGCCAAACCAATCGCAAAATGAAAAGACGCTACATGGGAGGTTCCAGGACATGTAAGATATGTAATTAACATTGTAAAATACAGGTAAGATGCCACTGTGGCGTGCCAACTTCAACTTCTTCCTAACTTTTTAAAAGGAAAATCTATAGCGGGCCCCTTTTCGCTCCCCTGCCCCTATTCCGATTTTTTCCTGTCCTGATTTCTCTTCAAAACTTTCTCGAAAAAACATCAAAATGGATTTCACATTTTAACTAGTATATTTTTCAACCATTTTCCAATAATTTTTCTATAATTGGATTTTTTAACGATTTTCTGGATTTTCAGAAAAAACAAATATTTTTTTACAGCACTGTATATTTTCAAAAGAATAAAAAAACTTAAAAATTATTATTATTTTATAATTATTATTATTTATATAATATATAATATATATTTATAATATATTATATATATAGTATATATATATATATATATATATATATATATATATATATATATATATATATATATATATATATTAATTATAATTATTAATTATTAATTATAATTATAATTATTATTAATTATTACTATTTATATCATAGTACATACTTTATTATATTTTCTCTATTTTTTTGCTAATTTTTTGAAAGAAATTTACATTTCGCGAGACTGGTCTTGGTCTTAAAGCGTAGCGTTAGATCTGCAAGACCATCGCCAATACCTACCAGAGCAAAACTTCTGCAACACCAAGACCAAGGACCAAGCATGCAGGACTCTTGGGGTCTTACATTTTTTTCACGTATGATGTAAGAAATTACATACTTGTTCAGAATTATTGTTTTAATTTTATTACAAATAGTGTTTTCATATAATATAGTGTTAATATTCTAATAACATTTATTCTTTAAAGTTTTATTTTTTAAAGGTGTTTACTAAGAATATATTAAAACATGCAAGACTTACAAGAGTCTTGCGGCAAAACTAAGACCAAGACTGAACCCTGCATGATAAGTCCAAAACTATTTATTGCACTGCAAGACCAGTGTCAAGACATTTATTTACATTACTAATTATTTTTTCGCAATCCTAAGACAATTAAATAATTATTTATGTAATCTGTAAGTCTTTTTGATTTAAATTATTTTATTGACTTAATTCATTTGATTTTTAAGCCATTTTTCTAAAGCTAACTTAAGTAATTCTCAAAATGATTTGTGCTTTAATTCTTTACTCGGAAATACCAAATAAGCTTAAACAAAAAATTATTTTACAATTTATATTATTTTAAATGTGCAGATAAATCAGTATACAAATTATAATACTTCAAGAATGGTCATATATTAAAAATTATTCAGTACCTATAGATTAAGATATTTCAATATTTTTAGAAAAAGAATTTTATGGAAAATCCTCTATGTAATAATTACACAGAATTTTATTTAAAACTCTTTATGTAAAACTCTTTTTAAACTTCCCTGTATAATTCTAAAGAACTATTTTTACAATGTGTGACTTAAATTAGACAAGACTTAAATCTTTTAAAAAGGTTTAAGTCTTTTTGAGGAAAGATTTACCTGGTTATAACTCAATTTTTTTCTTCTGTTTCCGTCGTTATTTTAAAAATCACATCTTTATGGATTTTAATAAAAATCACTGATGTTCTTAAAACAGAATCTAAAAAAGAATTTTTTTCCGAAAAATAAATATTTTTAATGAATTTCTAAAAAAAGTCACGAAGAAGACACTTCACTGTATGAAGTGTATGCGTGAAACAAAAATACAAATGTAAAAATCCACATCCGCCACAAAAGCCTTTTTAATATGCAAATTTTCTTCTTGTCTAGATATCAAATCCAAGAGCAGCGAAAGCTCAAGTCAGATTCGAAGCTATATTTTCCTCGTAAAATTTTTCAGCGTATATGCATTTTAAGCGAAACCAAGACAGAATATGATAAATCATTGATTAGATGTCGCCACCTCTACGTTCATACACACACAGAAGTAATATTCTAGATATAGTGACAGTTGCACATAAGCATATAAGCCGTTACAAATTTCGCATTAGCATTCCAAAGTCAAGTTATCCATATAGAGGGGTTGTGTAACATTTCGGCCAGCCAGGGTTGTATTACAATAGTTTCACATTCTTATTTTAATACTCTACAGGGTGTCCCAGAAATGAGTGCAAGTATTTTAAGGGGTGGAAGATTTGGCCAAAAGAAACATATTTTCTCTTTGCCATTTTTAAAATAAATTAGAGTTTTTACCTTTAATTTTTTTTAAAAAATAATGGCAACATTTGGAGAGCCAGCTGCAATCAATAATCAGCCGAAAGTACCAAGCAATTACCAGAATCTTAGCTTGTTCGGACGCCCAGTGTTGACACAGCGACTAGAATGATTTAAAAACGACTGGGAAAATTCAGAATAAAAGTAAAAAACTTACCTAACATTAGAAAACGGGATTCCGTATTATTAGGGTAGAGCGTTGTTTTATCACTTTACGTAAAACCGCTTCTCTACACTTAATAAAACTTCATTTCACTGCGATGCTTGACAGCACTACACTTACACGTATATTTGGCACAAAATACATTTATATGCCATCTGAATTATTTAGGAATATTTTTTGAGAATTTAAACTCCTTTGTTTTTTTATCTGACACTTTTGTTTTTGTGAATAAACACCAAAATAATTGATATTTCTATTTGATTAATAGAACTATTTACAATTATATTTTCAGGGACACAAAAACAAGATTTTCAAAAGGTTACTTTTTTTTCTTTAGATTGTTATTCAACTTTTGGCTGAGTTTATACAGGATGTCACAGAAATAAGTGTAAGTATTTTAACTGGTAGTATAGTTCAACCCCAGAAACACGTCTATGAGTTTTTTTTCGCGAAAAAAAAATTTCAAATTGGAATTGGAAATTTTTTGGAAATTTTTTTAGTTTTTAGTTAAAAAAACATAATTTCTTGATAATATGGCAACATAGGTATCAGATTAAATTTACAAGAAAGAAAATCCAGAAAAGATCAGTGGTTCTCAAAATTTTACCAAAAAGCATTTTTTTTTGGAAATTTTCAAAGTAAAATAACTGCGTTATTTTGGACTTTTTTTGATTTGAAAAACGATAAAGAGAAAATATGTTTCTTTTATCGAGATCTACCACCCCTTGAAATACTTGCACTTATTTCTGGGACACCCTGTATAGTTTAGCTATTTTTTTCAATGCGACAAATGATTATGCATTTTTTATATTTTCAAAAATTTTTTTTTATAAATCAATCATTCGTAAGTTCAAATATCCGTCAAGGAAACGCTAACAAGCTCAGTACATCCCTGTAAAAAGCCAGTGATTCCCAGGGGTGCTGTAGGATGATCTGTCAGCACACTTCAAGTCTCGCATGTACGCAGTTCATGAGCTTGTCAACTCTTATTTTACACAATATTCGGTGTGTCTTTCTCGAAAAGTGGGCAACAGAAACGAATCTATATGAGAGAGCAAAAAAGAAAAACATGACGATTAATTTGAGGGTTTGTCTATACTTGATATGGTTCGAAATTAGATCTGAAGTTTCATGACATGTAAGAAATTAAAGTAATTATAGGGATTTTTTGCTATATAAGCTGATAGCTGATTCTAAAAAGACAGTAGTCATGATGAATAATGTGTCTTACAATGTACTTATGTACGTCTAATATAAGATCTCAGTGCGTTAAAAAATACCATGTAATTTATCTAATTCTATGACCAATCCATTTTAATAAATCTACTCTGGTTATCTTATGATAAACTAATGTAAAACTAGCAAATATATATCAATTACGGCTTTCGATAACGTTACAACATAAAGGCCAGAAGAAGGGTTTTGAAAAATGCATTTTCACACTAAATCAAAGCCATTTAGTCCTTTAAAAATCTAGTCCTTTAAACCGAGGTACTTTAGCCTTGAAGGTTTTTTCTTTCTGAATCTACATAAAATTTCCTATAAATGCTGAAATTTTCGTAATTTTATGACTATCTTTACTAGGTTCTATGCCCTTTGAAATTTTTTTTAAAAGCATTTTTTTTACTTTTTACCGTACATATAGTCATCGATTTTGTTTAAACTGTTGTTATTTACTAACTTAAAGTTTAAACGTTTAAGGAAATATAGGCTATTATAGTCTTATGAGACCTGTAACAGACGTAGGGGACATTTTAACCTTCACCAAAAATAACTGAAAAAGAAGGGTCCAAAAAACTAATTTTCTTACAAAGCCAAGGTACCTAAGTCTCCAAGGGTGTATATTTTCCGAATCTACATAATATTTCCTACCAATGATAAAATTTTAAAAATTATGCAACCGATTTTCCTTTTGTTCCAGGATCTCTTGATTCGGTTTTAAAAGCAGTCAAAATTGCATATTTTTCGACTTTTTTCCACAGAATTCTTTATGAAATTTGGCTATTAAAACTAAAAGGCATAATATAATATGAAAATATAGGTCATTTTCATGTTGGGGCAGTACTAGATATAGGCAGAATTTGATTTGTAATGTTGCTGCATGCTAAATCTACATAAGATTTCCATATACCCTGAAATTTTCGTAATTTTATGACCTGGTGTAAAATTTTTCTATGAGTCCTGAAAACAGGTAAAAAATAGCCTAAAATGGATTATTTGTTGAGTTTTTCTGTATCATAGTCATGAAAATTGATTAATTAGGCTTTTTGACTTTATTTATACGGCACTAGACTGAGCAACAATTTTTTAACAATTTTAAAAATTCAATCAAATATAAATATTATGGATCAAATATCAGAAAATTTTAAATTAAAAATATTTGTCGAGACATTTACTTGAGATTTAATTTTACTTGTTCACGAACATAAAAAGCGTTTTTTCTGTTCATAGCCAAACG